TTTGCCAGCGTGGACCCCAACAAGTAAAGTATTGCACTGCGGAGGTGGAAGCTATGCAGTGTAAGTTATGTGGTGAACGCTCTGTCGTGTAAGCTATGTGGTGTGAGCTAAGGAGATGGACGCTGCGCGGTGTGAGTTATGTGGTGCAAGCTATGATGTGTAACTTGTGCGGTGTGTATTGGAAGGGGAAGCTATGTGATGTAAGCTATATTGTAAGCTATGAGGTGCCAGATTTGTGGTGCAAGCTGTGTGCTGTAAGCTGTGACTGTCAAACCCATGGCGGGTAAGCTCAGGCGGCACGGCGGCAATCTGGCGCAATTTAGGGTTAAGTCGGGCATGTCCCTCTACAGGAGGAGTGTTCAAAAGTAGTCTAGAATAGTCTGGGGACGAATTTTAAACTATTATTGAACATCGTTGGGAATATTTTGACTATTTTTTCTTTTTCGCCCAAGATCCCTTGTAGGAGGACCCGCCCGACCTAAACCTACTCCAGATCCCTTATTATTCGTCCCCCGGGTCTGGTTTTTTTTGGCGCCTTTTTTGTTATTGGGGGGGTCCCGTTTATTAGGGCGTTTTCTTTGGAGTGGAGTTTAGGGAGTCTTGTTTATGAAGGCGCCCCGTCGAAGAGGGGGGTCCGGAATATTTGGTCGCATTTGGAGGGGGGTCCGTTTTTTTAGGGGGGGTCGAGTAATCAGGGATGTGGAGTAGGGACACCCGCCCAGCGCACGGGGCGCCCACGAGGCGCCAGCGAGGCGGCACGGACCACGGCGTGGCGCAAGCTCGGGAAGCCCACCCGGCGCGCACGGGGGGCGCCCGCTGGCAGCGCCCACGCAGCGCCCGCAGGGCGCGCACGGGGCCCGCGGCGTGGCGACAGCCCGGCAAACCCACGGAGCGCGGGTCCTGGGAGCTTTTCGGAGGCGACGAGGGATGCGAACAGCCCAGGGGAGAGCATTACATCATGCCTCAGGCGATCGCATCGCAAGTCGTGGGTTCTCGCCGCCGAGCGAGGCGGCACCGGCCTCATTTTTGAGAGGGCACCTCCCCCGATCCGTGGGTTTGGCGACTGCGCGCCAAATCCATGGATCGCTAATCCATGTTTGCTCGCCCATCAAATACATGTATTCAGATGCGCAAGTGATCTTTGTCTTCGAAAAGGCTCCCGGGCGAATGCGTGTAATCCCCGCCCCTGGGCTATTCGCCCCCATCGTCGCCGCCGAGCCTTGAGACCGGGGTCAAGGCAAACGGGGGTCAGCCAGAGCGCCAGATCTTGCAGGATCCTGTAGGGGCAGGGTCGCATCGACCAGGGCTTGGGTGCAGGATCCTGCAGGTTCTTGCAGGGTCCTTCGCGTTGACCCGGGCTTGGACGCAGGATCTTGCAGGATTCTGCAAGGCATGACTGGGGTTGGGTTTTTTGTGGAAGGTTTCTTGTGGTCGGGACCCCACTGTAAGCACAGTTTCGCAAATCGTGAAGTTGTGCTGAAGGCGTGACTGAAACAAGTGGATCAGACTCCACACAGCTGGACTCATCCATCGGCAACATGAGATCTTGGCAGGTTGCATAGCTGCAAACCCATCGCAATACATACATATATACAAATCTATGAGACTCCACACTTGTGAGGCGATGGTTCTACGGATACGAGGAGACTGTCTACACATAATTATGAGGACCCGAACGAGTCGTGTGCAAACTTTGTAGCGCCGTCGCGTGCACAATCAAAAATCAAGGCGCGATCGAACTGGGTGACGCAAGCCTGACTACATCGTAACAGAAACACCACTGACCCACACGAGTCGGGAGTTTGTATCAGGGCACGCGGGTTATGGCTTCCCCGTGGACCCACGCTTCTTGGTTCGCCCTGGTGGGGGCTTCCTCGTGGACCCAGGGGGCAGTCCGCTGACCGTCACAGGGGCTCGCTCCAAGCGGCCGCCGCTGTCTCACCTGCGGCATGCGACAACCGTGTACCGCTGGGCTGTCAGCATCGCTGCCCCTGCAGCTGAACTTGGCTCTGCGCGAGGCTGCGGTGTAGAGGGGGGGGGGCAGTGGCAACGGTCGCGCGGCCCCCCACGCCGATGCCGCATGGAGTATGCAGCACCCCGCAGATGCGGACAAGAGTGGGGGGGCGGTGGGGACGCCGGCAGTCTACGAGACTCCGGAGAAGCCCGCCGCAGGCGCCAACGTTTCACATTATACAACGAGCCCGCCGCAGGCCCCGATGTCTTCGTGCAACCACTGCGGGTAGGTCGCGGGTGGGTCGCACATGGGTCGCGGATGGGTCGTTGTTGGGTCGCGGCTGGGTCGCGGGGTGGGTCGCGGGTGGGTCGCGGGGTGGGTCGCGGATTGGTCGCGGGTTTGGTCGCGGGTGGGTCGCGGGGTGGGTCGCGGGGTGGGTCGCGGGTTGGGTCGCGGGTTGGGTGGCGGGGTGGGTCGCGGGGTGGGTCGCGGGTGGGTCGTGGGTGGGACGACGGCAACAAATAACAACAATTCAACAAGCAGAATGTTCACCACGGATCCCCACTTCAGCCACGCAACCAGGGACAAAGAATGACCGTTCGGCCCCCTCATTCTGATTGAACGAAGTCTTTGAAAAGCATCGATATAGTTGCGGAAGGACATCTGAGCACGCAACATAATGACCGTGCACAGTAAGCGTGCACAGCATGAATTTCTGCACAGATGCTCAATCCAGTGTCGCTCATCTTTCAGAATATCTAGCTTCAAGGGCGAAACATCACACACCTGTGCATATATATATATATATATATATATATATATATATATATATATATATATGTATATACATATATATATATATACACAAACACACATACGATTGTGGAAATATCGAAGACGCCTACGGCGAATCACCGCCGACCCCTGCTTTCTTGGAAGCGCCTATGTGGCCGGAGGTTAGGCTAGAGCTATCGGACCATGTGTTCCCCCAGCTGCCGTTTAGATTTTTTGGGAAACACGTGAGGAAGAGGAACATGATGAGAAACAGGAAGAGGGAGTAGGAGGAGGAGGAAGAGAAGGAAGAGGAGAAGAAGGAATACGCCTCTTGGAAGCCTCTTGGGCCTCCCTTGGGGGCTCCGGAGAGGTTCCTGGGGCTTCTTGGAGGCCTCTTGGGGGCCTCCTTGGATCTCTTGGGAGCCTTGGGGGCTTGTTCGGGGCCGCTTTGGCCTTCTCACGGCATTCCTGGCCCGTCTGACGCCGTCGGAAATTTTTTGGGATGCCTCTCTAAACCGATGTGGGGTCCTCTTAGGGCTCTTCAGGACCGTCTTGGAGGCCATCTTGGGCGTCTTGGAGCCACCCTTTGGCATTCTTGAGGCTCTCTTGGGGCCGTGTCGGAAGCCCGTCATGGGGTCACCTTGCAGACCTCTGGGGCTATCTTGAGGCGATCTTGGGGGCCTCTTGGGCCGTGCTGGGCCGTCGGAATGCCGAAAAGAAGCAAATGCCAACTCTTCCAACAACTGTTGCAAACCCATTGTTTTTGGCCTCCTCGGGCTCAGTTGGAGGACTTCTTGGAGGCCTCTTGGGCTGTCTTGGAGGCCTCTTGGTGGCCACCGGGGCCGTCCTGGGCCTTCTTGGAGGCTTCGTGGGCGATTTTGGAAGCATCTTGGACTCTGTTGGGGCGTGCCATCTTCAAGCCATGTTGGCCGTCTGGGAGGCCATCGTGGCCGTCTTGGAGCCAGCTTTTGGCATCTTGGGGCCATCCGGAGCGAAATAACCCTTTCCAACCACCCCGCCTGGAGCTTTCCGGGTGGCCGTCACAATGCGCCGAAACCGCAGGGGGATGCGCGCGCCGAACATTTTTTCTCTAACACATTTTTCGTGGCGGGCGTTTTGTGGCTGCATCGCTCGGGAAACGATACCGCAAGATGGTTGCACCATCTCTTTGGGTCGGACGCGCGCCTCCGATTAGGACGCACCGTGCTAGTATGTCCTGGTGCGTCCTCTCACCAGCCTGGAACATGTCCCTATCCCTATGATTGGCATCGCCTCATCTCGTTGCCGATCTTAGGGATTCCCTCCGTTTCTGAGGGCGCATCCCTAAGATTGTCGTCGACTTTTGGCTTGTTAATCTTAGGGGTAGGGATACGTTCGAGGCTGGTTATCCTCCTGTCCTCGCCCTCCCCCTCAAGTTGTCCCCCGGTCCCCCCCTCGCTCCCTGCCCTCGCTGCCTCCCTGCCCTTGCTTCCCAACCTGAGTCCCGCTGACGCCCTCAAAGTCCTACAAGGAAATCGTCTGTGTAGGTTTAAGTCGGGCCTGTCCCCCTACAGGGGGATTTTCGACGAAAGCAGAAAATACCAAAGACATAGTCAACACATACTCTATAACAATAGTCTGGGGATTATTGTTTGAGTATGTTTTGACCTTTTTCGAATGTTTGTGGCGTACATTTTTTTCGTCGAAAATCCCCCTTGTAGGGGGACACGCCCGACATCAGTGTAGGTTCAGCTTTAGGCTTTCTGAGCCGGCGCTGTCCCCGGGGCCTCCCGTCGGGCCCTGGCTCCTCTCGGCTTTGGAGGCAGCCTGCAGCAACTCCGCGCGAGCACCGGGCCTCGCCGGATGAGCGGAACCTTCGGAGAAGGGCTTCCCTCTTCCTCTTCCTCCTCTTTCTCCTCCTCCTCCACATCTTCCTCCTCCTCCCCCCATCTTCCTCCTTTCCCCCCCCTCCTCTCCCCTCCTCCTCCTTTCGTCCTCCTCCTCCTCCTCCTCCTCCTCCTCCTCCACCGTGTTGGCAAGCGTCTTGGGGTTCCGCGCCCAACTGCGGATTTCCGTGCCTTCGGTATTCCTCCTGCCCCTGGCTGCCGCCCTCGGCGTGACCCTGACCTTCCAGAGAGCTATGTTTTAGCATGGGAGGCCGAAAAACAGAAAAAACTGAACGAGACAGCCTAAAACCAATACATCGAATAGCTCTGGGATAGGTGTTTAAGTCGCGTGCTATTTTTTTGCCCTCCTGGAAGGTCAGAGGATCCTCGCCCCTGCGCGGCGGGAGGCCTCCTGCGGGCCTTCCTGGCGCCGGCGCCTCTAGCAGCGCGGGCCTCGGGCTCGAGCTCGAGCAGGGGGTGCCCCTCGCTCGGCCCGCGCGGCTCGTCGGCGACTTTGGCGCGAGCTTCCACGGATCGAGGGCGCCTCCTCCCCCTCCTCCTCTTCCTCCGTGTCGCCCTCCTCTTCCTCCTCCTCCTCCACCTCCTCCCCCTCCTCCTCTTCCTCCTTGTCCCCCTTCCTCCCCCCCTCCTCCTCCTCCTCCTCCTCCTCCTCCTCCTCCTCCTCTTCCTCCTCCTTGTCCCCCTCCCCCTTCCTCCTCCTTCTCCTCCACCTCCTCCTCCTCGTCCTCCTCCTCCTCGTCCTCCTCCTCCTCGTCCCCCTCCCCCTCCGCCTCCCGCCCCGCGGAGCGGAGCGACACGCCATCTGGTCGCAGAGCACAGCGTGTCGCCGGGGCCCGCCGCCGCGACGCGCGGAGCAAAAGTTGCCGGCCGTTGGATGTCAGAAATGGCGCTGGGCGGCGAGCGAGGGGGCAAGTGAGAGGGAGGAGGCCTCCTCAGGAGGCGGCGGGACTTCTGAGAAGCCCTCGCGCCCTCTGAGAAGTCTTCCGCGTCTTCGGGGGTGGGGCTCGGAAGCTCCTCGGAAGGCGGGGCGACTTCGAGCTCTATGAGCAGGCTTAAGCCGGGCCTGTCCCCCCATAGGGGGATTTTCGACGAGTAAAATGAAAGAAACACTGAAATTAATAAAAATTATGCTAACGGAATTCCCCACATAAAGAGATTAACGGTTTCGTGGGACCTATTTTCTTGATGCCCTCCTCGCTTTGGCGGGGCCCCGCTGGAAGGGGGGAGGGCTACGAAACCTGGCGAAGAGTAATGCTTTCCGCGACCCTCCTCGTTCAAGCGCGGCCTCTCTGGAGGAGTGGAGGGGGGACACGAAACCGTGTAAACAGCATGTTTTCCGATACCCTCCAGGAAGAGGAGGAGGAGGAGGAGGAGGAGGAGGAAGAGGATAAGATGGATGATGGCGAAGAGCAGCAGCAGGAACCCAGCAGGAGCAGCAGCGGGAGGTTGGTTTGAGTGGTCTCATTTTCCTCGTGAGGTCCGATTCGCGAGGTTGGTCTGAGTGGTCTCATTTCCCTCGTCCAGTCGAGGTTATACAAGAGGGTGGGCGACACGAGTTCGCTAGACGAAAGCACTTGCCGAGGTGTCTGGTAACTACAATTTGAACGCAGACGCTGATCGGCCAAGAGCGGTTTAAAAGACTGCCAATAATCTCCCTGGAGGGGTTGGAGGGGCACGAAACCATATAAATAGTATGGTTTTCCTATACCCTCCTCGCTCAGGCGGGGCCTCCCTGCAGGGGTGGGAGGGGCACGAAACCATGTAAACAGTATGGTTTTCGGATACCCTCCTCGCTCAGGCGGGGCCTCCCTGGAGAGGTGGGAGGGGCACGAAACCATGTAAATAGTATGGTTTTCGGATACCCTCCTCGCTCAGGCGGGGCCTCCCTGGAGGGGTGGGAGGGGCACGAAACCATGTAAATAGTATGGTTTTCGGATACCCTCCTCGCTCAGGCGGGGCCTCCCTGGAGGGGTGGGAGGGGCACGAAACCATGTAAATAGTATGGTTTTCCGATACCCTCCTCGCTCAGGCGGGGCCTCCCTGGAGGTGTGGGAGGGGCACGAAACCATGTAAATAGTATGGTTTTGCCTCCCTGGAGAGGTGGGATGGGGCACGAAACCATGTAAATAGTATGGTTTTCGGATACCCTCCTCGCTCAGGCGGGGCCTCCCTGGAGGGGTGGGAGGGGCACGAAACCATGTAAATAGTATGGTTTTCGGATACCCTCCTCGCTCAGGCGGGGCCTCCCTGGAGGGGTGGGAGGGGCACGAAACCATGTAAATAGTATGGTTTTCCGATACCCTCCTCGCTCAGGCGGGGCCTCCCTGGAGGGGTGGGAGGGGCACGAAACCATGTAAATAGTATGGTTTTCCGATACCCTCCTCGCTCAGGCGGGGCCTCCCTGGAGGGGTGGGAGGGGCACGAAACCATGTAAATAGTATGGTTTTCCGATACCCTCCTCGCTCAGGCGGGGCCTCCCTGGAGGGGTGGGAGGGGCACGAAACCATGTAAATAGTATGGTTTCCGATACCCTCCTCGCTCAGGCGGGGCCTCCCTGGAGGGGTGGGAGGGGCACGAAACCATGTAAATAGTATGGTTTTCCGATACCCTCCTCGCTCAGGCGGGGCCTCCCTGGAGGGGTGGGAGGGGCACGAAACCATGTAAATAGTATGGTATTCCGATACCCTCCTCGCTCAGGCGGGGCCTCCCTGGAGGGGTGGGAGGGGCACGAAACCATGTAAGTAGTATGGTTTTCGGTATGGAGTGGTAAGGAATGGTATGGTAGGTATGGTATGGTACGGTATGGTATGATATGGTATGGTATGGTGTGGTACTGGAGGTATGGTATGGTATGGTATGGTACGGTGTGGCATTGGTGTGATATGGTATGGTATGTTATGGTACGCCATGGTATGGTATGGTACGGTATGGTACGTATGGTGTGGTATGGTATGGCATGGTATGGTATGTGTGGTAGGAACTATGGTATGGTATGGTGTGTGTGTGGTAGGAATAATATTGTGCTGTATGGAAGATGGAGCGGGAGGTGGGTGGGAAGGAGAGGGTGTTCTGGGAAAACAAGAACCCCACTCAGGATGTGGGGAAATAGTCCAAATATAGTCTGGGGACTATTTTTTAAGTATTCTTTATATATTTTGGAATATTTTAGGGGTATTGTTTTGTTGTTCGTCGAAAATCCCCCTGTAGGGGGCAGGCCCGCCCCTGCTCACCTCCCCCCCTCGCTCGCCGCCGAGGCGCGAGCGCGCCCAGCTTTTGTCTCCCGCCCCCAGTGCCTGCACAAGTCTCGTGCTCGGGCCCTTCCTGGACCTCCAGACCTCAGTGGGCCCTCGAAGCGACAGGGCCCTTTTGTCACCGGCTCCGTTTGGCCGTTTTTTTTGCCGGTTCCGACGCCGTTTGTTTTCCGGTTCCGTCGCCGTCTTTTGACCAGTTTTGGCTCCGGCTCCAGTCCTGGAGCCGTTCTTGTGCCGTTTCCGGTCGCAGTTTTTTTTGCCGCTTCCGTTTTCAAGGCGCATTTTGCTGGAAACGGTGGAAAAAATTGCCCTGCCGTGTCCGGGGCCCACAGAGCTCCAGATCCCCTGCTGGGGGACGCCGAAACGGTGCGGTGACCAGACAGTGTGGTGAGTCCGTGGAGGGTGTCGGGGTCTTCGGGCGGTCTCGTCGGCTTCTGGGGGTGATCCTGCCTCGGGGTGCGTCCCAGCAGCTGCGCCTCGTCTCTGCAAGCACGAGATGGGCACGGAAAGAATGGGTACAATGCCCAACAGCACTTCCTGTTCATTTTGAACAGGACGCCCCGTCGGTGTCTCCGCGGCCTGTGTCCATTTGAGACAGAATGCCGCCTGCCCAACAATGGCCGCTGTTGGTTTCGGATAGTATTTGTTGTTGGGCATTGTGCCCATTCTTTTCGTGCCCATTTCGGGCGTCCAAATCGTCGAGCGAGCCGAGCGTGGTGGGCCTTCCCGGATCGTCCCGAACGCCCCGAGGTATGGTTCGGAAGTCAAACAGTCGGAGGAGCGTCGGCGTGTTGAGTCAGTGGGGATCCGGTGTGACCGCACAGTGTTGGGACTCGGGCCGTTCTTCGAGGACGTTTCGGGCGGCTGGGGCCTCCGTGGTTCCAACAGCCGCGAGTTGTGGGTGCGGTGAGAATTGCGGGGATCGCGGTCTGTCTCCGCACCGTTGTGCGGCCCCCAAAGGTGGCAAGTATTCAGTCGGGCCTGTCCCCCTACCGGAGGAGTACCCAGAAATTGTCAACACATATTATGATGACGATGTTTCGATTATTTTTGTTGCATGTTTGAGCGTTTTATGACTATTGTTTTAATTTTTCGTCCTAAACCCGCTTACACGATGACATGCCCGACCTAAGGCAAGTAAGGAGAAGCCACGCCGCCCGACTGGGGTCGCGGTGCGGTGCGGCAGCTGCATGCCGTGTCGGCGCGGCGGTGGCTCCAGCGCGGGCGTGGAGGGTTAAGAACGCCGCCAGTGGCCGAACGATCTGCGGTATCGGGAAGTGCCGACCGTTCCAGGTTGAGAGATCGAAACCAACGCTTCCTCCTCCACCTCCTCCCTCCTCCTCCTCCCCCCTCCTCCTCCTCCTCCTCCTCCTCCTCCTCCTCCTCCTCCTCCTGTAGCAACGTGTAACAGTGTGCAATGCTGAATGTCTCCGTGCTGGCCGCAACTGTCTGTGCTCAAGCGGTTTTCGAGGCGGCGGATGGGAGATTTCGGCTGGGCCTTTTCTGCCGACAAGTCCTCTGCCCCGGCGCCCAGCTTCATAAGTGGCGTCAAGGAGGCGTTCGGCGTCAGCCCCTGCGCCTTGGGGCTCTCGAGCGCCGCCCACGCCTGCCTGGGCGCGCAGGACATTTGGGGAGCTCCTGTACCCCTCGGGCTGTCCGTGACGGCAGCCGGCCTGGCCTTCGCGTTGGGCGCCTTGCTGGTGCTGGCGGCGCAGGCCTTGTGCTGCTCTTGCTACGTGACCTGCAGGCTGGTGCTGACGGGCGCTTCCGTGCTCAGACAGCCGGGCCCTCAGGAGGTTCTTGCCCCCTTGGTGCAGGACCGACAAGATGCGCGCGGCTCCGAGAAAGCGAAGGTCATTGGTGGGGCTGAAGCCCGGGGACGTGGTCTTCGTCAACTACGGGGTGGACGAGGAACCCTGGCATGAGCGCCTGATCCTCGCGGTCGTAGACCACTGCTGTTACATCATCTTGACCCCAGATGGGGACATCTACGCGGAGACCATCAGCCTGGAGTACCTCCAGGACTTCAGGGAGGGGGGCCCCCGAGGGGGGCTTCCCCCTGGGCTGGGCGCGGCGCGCGGCCAGCCCGTGTACCGCTTCTCGTCGAGGCCGGTCGGGCAGGAACTGCAGGACTTGTTCGAGGAGGGCCGCGCCAAGGCGGCCGAGGAGAGGCGCACGATGGGCATTCTGGAGGACGAGCCGGAGCCGCCACCAGCGTCGGCGGGAGCCGGCGCGAGCGGGGCTCCCCCCCTGCCTCCCTTGGCGGGTTCGCCTCCTGCTGGGTCAAGCTCGGAGCTTTTCAAGTGGGTGTGTGTGGCGCGGTCGGCACAGGTGAGTGTTGGCAACACCTTCATGCTTGCGGCGCAGCACCACACACCATCGGACAGCTTCGTGAGCTGCGGCTCGGTGGGCCTGTATGACATGGGCCTGCGAGGTGATCCCGCGGTGCTCTACCGCGTGGAAGTGGGGGCGCAGGAGGTTGAGATGATCGAGCACTTCAGGCGCTTGACGAAGAAGGACGGCGACGTCGAGGGCACGGACACTCCCCCGGTGCGAGCGCCAGGAGTATCCAGCGCCGAGGACGCCCGCACCTTGCCTGTGCTGCGCGACAGCGCGGGACGGCGCTTCAGGGACATGAAGAGTGTGGCGAACAGTTCGGAGATGTGTGCCTTCGACGACTGGGTGCTGGAGGGGCCGCGTACGGCATTGTACCTGGTGAAGGAGATAGCTAAGCAGGCGGCGGGTCCCCTCCAGCGTCACTCGACCTGGAAGCACGAGAACAAGCTGCAGGATGACGAGCACAATGCGGTGACGCACGAGATGCTTTCGGATATCCTTGAGCTGGCGACGACGTTCGACCAGCTCGACGTGTCGAACTTGGCGAGCATGGAGAGCCTGTGCCGCCACATCCAGCACATCGAGCAGCGCATCAAGAAGAAGCGGGAGGCCAGGAAGGACTTCGACCTGCAGGACTACTACCTGGGCAGGACGCGGCGCACCGGCGGCGCGCTGATGGCCCCGGAGCTTCAGAAGTGGGTGGCCGAGTCGGCGGCCCGTGATTCGTCCATCTTGAAGGAGGAGAGGAAGGCCGCCGAGGAGCGTGCGCTTGCGCGCGCTCCAAAGAAGTCATGATGGACCCAAGATCCGGGGGCTGGCCGTCCCGGGTCGCAGATTCAGGCCGTATCATGGAGAGGGTAGTGCCGCGGGACCTGTTCCCCTTGCCCGAGGTGACCTACAGCTCTCCTGAACAGCGCCGAGGTCCTCGCCGTGCTGCCCAACGTCTGGGCAGGAAGGCGGCCATCGGCCGACGCTCGAACGACTGCATCGCCGCCCTCAACAACCTGTATGGGGACGGCTCGTTTTTGCCTGGAGGAAGACCCTCTCAGGCACAGTTCTCGGCGCTTGACGGCATCCTGCGCGCGGTCACCGATGACATGCCGCCGGACCCGTTGCCCGCCCCCGAGGCAGCCCTTCAGGAGTTGCTCGGTACCGAGGCCCTCGACTACGCGTCTGAGGACCTCTCCGTGGTTGCACCGTATGATCGCGGCTTGGTCTCGTGGCCGGACACCGCAGGCTCGGTGAACTTGCTGGACGTGTTGCCAGACCCTGACCGCCAGGAGGTGATCGACGGTCCCCGTGCGCTTTTGCTTCGGGCTGAGGAGGAGCCGCCAGCGACCTGCAAGGTCTACTGGGACAAGACGCTCAAGGCGGACAGAGGCGAGTACGTCAGGTTCGTACAGGACCTGCTGAACAGGGGCATGGTGGAGCTCCGTATTCGCCGTGATTTTGAGGTTGGGATATTCTTCGTGCGCAAGAAGTCAGGCAAGTTGCGCCTGATAGTGGGCGCCAGGTCCGTCAATCAGAACCTCAGGCGGCCCACTTCAATCCAGCTGGCGTCGACCGCGGCGATGGTCGGGCTGGAAGCGGAGCCTGGGGACATGCTAGATTTCTCGATTCAGGACATTGCTGATTGCTTCTACCAGTTCAAAGTGCCGGACTACATGGTGCAGTGGTTCGGGATGAAGCCCGTCAGGGCTGGCGAGGTGGGGGCCAAGACCGTGCAGGGCGAGCCGGTCCTTGCAGGCGCCTGGGTCTACCCCTGTCTGCGGGTGCTGCCCATGGGCTTCTCGTGGGCCATGAGATGGACGCAGCAGGCTCATCGAGAGCTGCTGCGCCGGGCAGGGCTTGGGGGCATCGAGAGCGAGCTGGTGGACCGCCAGGTGCCCCCGTCGGCCTCGGCAGCGCCTGTCCCCCGCATCGTTTACGTGGATAACGATGTATTCGTCTCGTCTCGCCCAGGTGCCTCTGCCGACGCCAGGCGACTGGCGGCCAAGAAGATGTCCAACATCGGGCTGCCGCTGCATGAGGTGGAGGAGGGCAAGCATGTTGTCGAAGCGCTGGGCCTGGAGCTGGGCGGCATCAAGCTTCGGTGCCGCCTGGCCTCCTCCAAGCGGTGGCGGCTGGTGCAAGGCACGCATGCGCTTTTGAGGCGGCGACTAGTGGCCGGCAGGGAGGTCGAGTAACTGATCAGCCACTTCACGCATGCCATGTTGCTGAACCGCCCAACGCTTTGTATCTTCCGCTCCGCCTACGACTACGCTCGGAAGCACTACCGGGCGCCTAGCTTGCTCTGGCCTTCAGTGAGGCAGGAGCTGCAGAATGCCATGCACATCATGCCGCTGCTCGCGGTGCAATTCGATATGCCGCGGTCAGGGTTGGTCACCTGCTCCGACGCTACGCTGAGGGGCTACGCCGTGCAGGAGGCTGACTTCCCGGTGTCTGAGGTCAGGCAGGTGGGGCGCTGGAGTGAACGCTGGCGCTTCAAGGTCGAGGGGGCCGGCCGGCCTCGGGAGCGGGCGTTGGGCGGATCTCTGCCGCCCGATGGACTCGATGCTTTAGCTGAGAATGGAGATCACTACGACGACGACATTGCCATTAGCATCAATCATTAATTCCCTGAGCTACCATCGTCGTTCACCAAGGAGGAGGTTGATTGGAGGACTATACACGCAAGGAGGTATCACAGGAAGGAGGCAATCCACCTGAAGGAGTTGAGGGCGGTGTTATTTGGGTGGAGGCGCAAATGCAGGCAAGCTAAACATCATCATACGCATCATCTATTTCTGTGTGACAACATCGGCATGGTTCTAAGTCTGGAGAAGGGGCGGGCTGTGTCTGTACCCGTACTCTTTCTGCTCCGAAAGTGGGCCGCTCTTTCTCTGGCCACCTTCTCTCGCACCTGTGTGAGATGGATTGCGAGCGAGCTGAACCCCAGCGATGAGCCCAGCCGATGGTTCGACACGCCTGCTGAGAAGGCGGCTGCAGCTGCGCTGGGAGCCCACCGGCGTGAGGCTCACGGAGAGGTGCCTGAGGCGTGTAGCAGCGCCTCCCGCGCTGGCTGGTGCAGGAGCGCCTGGCCCCCCCCCGCCGCCGGCGAGCCGGCTCCCGAGAGACGGCTGCAGCGTCGGAGCGGCCCGGTGCCCAGCGCGGTCGTCGGGCCATGGCAGAGTGGCGGCGGCCCAGGTTACCTCGACAAGGCGGCTGCGCGGCTCATCGACGAGGTCTCGCCGATCCCCTGCGAGGTCGAGAGGCCTCCTCCCGCCTCTGGCGGCTGGGGCGAGGGACCGGGCTCGAGCGAGGATCGCTGGTACTGGTGGGCCGACCGTCCTGGAGCAGGAGAGCGTAACGGCGAAGACCAAGGAGGACTACGAGCGGAGGGTGGAGCGGTTCTTCGGCTTCTGCAGCATCAACGGCCTGGCGCTCGACACCGACCTGCTGCTCGAGGAGGCCCTGGTGGAGTACATGGACCTCCTGTTCGCGCAGGGGGAGCCCTGCAACAGCGGGGCCAAGCTGCTGGCGGCGGTGGGCCATCGCTGGCCAAGGCTCCATCATGCCGGGCGGTTGCTGAAGCTGCCGACGGTGGCGAAGGCGCTGCAGGGCTGGCGACGTCTGGTGCCGCCCGTGACGCGGGCGCCCGTGCCGTGGGCCGCCGTGGCGGCCATCGCGCCGGCCCTGGTCAGGTGCAAGCAGCCACTGGCGGCTCTGGCAGTGGTGCTGGCGGCAGACGCCTACCTTCGGCCAGGCGAGCTGCTGTCGCTCCGGGCCGACCGTGTGGTCCCAGCCCAGGCGACGGCCGGGGGCGACTACCGCTTCGCGTCGCTGGTGCTGAGGCCAGAGGAGGAGCTGCAGCCGACCAAAACGAGAGGCTTCAACGACTCGATCCTTCTGGACAGCGTGTCGAGGCCCTACCTGGGCGTGCTGGTGGAGCGGCTGGCGAAGCAGAAGGGCTTCTCGGCGGAGCTCCTCTTTCCGTGGTCGGCCGCGGCTTCCACTGCCATGTTCAAGCGTGCCGCGGCCGACGTCGGCCTGGAGGCTTGGGAATTCACGCCGTGCATCCTCAGGCATGCAGGCCCGTCACACGACTGGCTGACCAAGGCTCGGTCCCTGGGCGGCATCAAACGGCGCGGAAGGTGGATCTCCGACATGAGTGTTCGGAGGTACGAGAAGAGCTCGCGGGTAATGCGGCGCCTGGCGACACTGCCGCGATATTGCCAGCTGCTGTTGGCCGAGTCGGCCAACAACCTCGAGGCAGGGCTCAGGTTCGGGCACGTCGGCAGGTTCGAGAGCAGGCGCCAAGACGCAGGCCTCGTGTGAGGCCCCTGTTTTTGGAGTTGTTTTCGGGCAAGCGCGGCCTTTCCCGGGCCATGTCTCGCAAGGGCTGGCAATCGGCCACTTGGGACATCCGGGACTCTCCTAAGCAAGACTTGTCAAAAGAAGCAGTAATTAGGCGCGTGTTGAAATGCATACCCAGCGCAGGCTGGGTGCATCTCGGCACGCCATGCAGAAGTTTTTCTACAGCACGTCGTGGCAAGCTTGGCAGTCCCGGGGGTCCCCTCAAGTCCAAAATGTATCCTGAAGGCCTTCCTGAGCTTTCTGGCATAGATGCGGCCAAGGTGTCGATCGGAAATCGTCTGGCCCAGGCTTCATTCCGTATCATTCGATGCTGCGTCCAGTTTAACGTGCCTGTGTCCTTGGAGAACCCCAGGTCGTCCTGGCTGTGGCAGCAGCCTGGGCTGGCCCTTTTGTTGCGCAGAGCTTGTCTGGTGAATACTGCATACTGCAGATTCGGAACCCCGTGGCGAAAGGCCACTACTATTGCCTGTTGGAATGCTGGCCGCCCATGTGCGCTGGAACCCCTGCGCGCGGAGTGCAATGGTCCTCGCTGCAAATATTCTGGCGATCGGCATCAGGTTTTAGAAGGCAAGGCGCCAGGAGGCAAACTCTGGACATTGGTCGCAGAGCCTTGCCCTCCTCGCTTAGTTTCCTTGTGGGCGTCTTGTGTCGACGCCTCGAGACAATGATGTGGACCCCTCGCCTGTTGCGCGGCGTGATGATAACTGCGTTTCGCTGCTTGGGTCTCCGCGGTGTGCTTGCATTGTTTGGAACTTCGGCTGAAAAGGGCCGCCTCAACCGCCAGGTCGCTAGATATTGGCGGATATCGGCAAGGTGGCCCAGCTGGCCCTTTTCTTGTGTCTCTCTGCTGCTGCCAGACAAGCCCGGCCGCAGCTGCAGCGAGAATAGCCTGGCCTGAGGAAAATTGGAGCATGTAGCAACGTGCAACAGTGTGCAATGCTGAATGTCTCCGCGCTGGCCGCAACTGTCTGTGCTCAAGCGGTGTTCGAGCCGCAGCGAGAATAGCCTGGCCTGAGGAAAAATGGAGCATCCTCCTCCTCCTCCTCCTCCTCCTCCTCCTCCTCCTCCTCCCCCTCCTCCCCCGTAGCCATTATGGCTCAAGCCATTTTGGCTCAGGTAAACCATTTCTCGAGGTGGTTTTGAGTGGCCCGCGCTGAGGGGGGCCTGCGCCCCCTCCTGCAGGCTGGTTGCCCTCGCCTTTCTGGCGCACCTTTTTTCCTCCCACATCCCTGTCTCTCGTCCTCCGTTTTTCATCGCCGCGATGGGAGGACTCCGTCGCAACCAGCGGGACTCGTCAGGCAGCCCGCGACATCAGCCGCTCCGAGGTGCTCGCCGAGCCCGTTCGCTTATTCCGTCCCCGGAGCTCAGTCGCAGTACCAACCACCCGTCGCACTCCGTGCTGCTGAAGCAGATGAGCGATATGTTGGGGCAGTTCTCCTCGTCGGTGGTTGCGCAGATGAGGGGCAACCACGCGCAGATAAGGAACAATATTGGACGTCATGAAGAACCGCTTGTGTCGATGTCAGCTCGTATTGATCAGGCCACCACCACCATGCAAACTCGATTCGAGCACCAACAGAAACCGATCGAGGAGCTCCGCGGTCTTCAACAAGCTAGCTCGAGCGCGGCCTCTACTGCCAGTCCATCGGGTGGCGATGTGCCGATGGAGGGCCGTCGTCCTGGGCCGATCGGAGCGCCACCCGCGCCCAGTGCACATGTTGATCGCCCGAGCAACCCGAAGAATAAGCACATAGGTGCATGGCCTCGCCCCGTTCTTGGACGTGTTCGCGAGGAGTTCCACAAGCAGCTCAAGCCGCGCTTCCCCGCCCTCCTGCAGGACTCTGCCGCCACGTTCAGGGGGCGTCTCAGAGCTACGAGATCCAGTTCCCGACGGAAGCCGCTGCCACTTCGTGCACGCTGCCAATGAAAGCAAGATGTCGTGGAGAGATTCACGCGAACATACCTTCGCGCCGCTTCGCTGTTGCGGCGGCCTTCTTCTTCCTGTTCGCCTCTGCCAGCAAAACTTCTCGAAGCTGGACCAGCCCGTGAAGGATTTCCTGGATGGGTCGTCGCTGTGGGGCGCGAAGTCCAATCTGGGCGTCAACGGCTTCAAAGGTCAGTTAATGGTCATGGACGACAATGAGGTGTGGCCACTCGTTTCTTGCACTCACAGTGGTATTGGTGTCGGGAGCTTCCAGCCGCACTATGAGGAGCTCCAGGAGCGGGGCGTAGAGGCATCGCAGATCGACGCCATCGTTGTGGACGCCGCCAGCCAGGTGCACGCGCAGGACATTATTTTGCGAGCCTTCCGTGAGCCTGAGAGCCCTGCATCTGCGCAGCCTGCGATTGGGGCCCAGGCTGCCCCCCTGCCCCCTTATGTCCCCCTTTGTCCTCTTCGCTGTTTCTTCCGTCTCCTTCCGCCCTCAGTCTTGTCGCGTGGGGCCCGCGAGTTTTCTTTTTGTCCGTTTGGTCTGATCACCGCAGCAGTCAGAATGAGTACAGTCATCTTTCTCGCCCCCTCTCCCCCATCGCTTCCGTTCAGGAATCCCATCCCACGGCATGCAGGCGGATCTGGGCGGGATTGCCCGGGGGACCAAAGGCGTCTTTGGATATGGGTCGCGCTGCCGCAAAAGTGGCCCTGGCGGCGTTTTGATTCATGTCAAAGATTGTTTCGGCGCTCGGTTCCATCGCGCGCATTGCCACGAAATCGCCCCTGGCAGATTGTGCGTTCTCACTATGGCTTCTCGAGTGCATTCATATCGCCTGCGCGCAGATTGTCCTTTGCGCGGCTTGGGCGGAGGTGAGGACGCACTTCTTGCAGTTGCGCGCTGCCTTGTTGCCCTTCCCGGGTTCCACGGCATTCGTTGTCGGTGACTTTAATTCCCGCTGCCAGGGCGAAGCTAGATGCCATGCTGTCTCTTCCCAACGAGTCTCCGTGGCATGATTTTTGATGATTGAGAACATAGTGGAGTTCGTCGGTTCGCCCTTCGGTTGGGCCCACGCGGTGGCCTGCTCCAATTCTGGAGGACACCTCTTCGACTTCCGCAATGCGCTCCCCAGCGTGCAGCCTGATGGGATATTTCGTGTGTTGCGTGCTTATCGGAGTTACTGCCCTCTACTCACGTGTGTGGACAGCGATACGCATTCGTCGCGGGATTGCATCGAGCGCAGATGTTGGTTTTTGGGCCCGCCGTGGGATGTAACAGGGTTGCCCTCTGTCGGGCGTTTTATTTGCCATCGTTTTGAATCCGATCTCTAGATATATCCATCGGAGGCGCTATTCACGCCTATGTGCACGCCTGGCGTAACCGACGATTTTGCCCTCGTCGCAGTCGACATGTCCCTCGTCTTTCTTGCAGTCTGTGCCGAGCTACAGGGTGCAGGTTGTTGTTTCAGGCCTGGTGTTGAACCTCGGCAAGTGCCGCGTCGTGCCCCCGCGTCCGTACGATACGGGTCAGATTAAATCTAGGCGCGCCGCTCTTGGGCTTGGTGTCTCGCGTCTTCAGCATGGAACTAACGGGCAATATATGTGGATATATGTCGGCCTCCATGGGCCGTGGAGGTCGCGGGCTCGACCTCTTGGGAAGCTTGCGGAACACGCTTGCCATGCGCGTGGTATTGGGCTGTTTTTTTTTGCCACGAGTCCTACCTATAACCGGTGTGCCTTTCCTGTTTTGGGCCACGTTGCGCAATGTGTTGATTCTCCTCGTGCCCTCATTAAATCAGAGCGAGAATGTCTTCAGTTGCTTCCTCGTGCCCATCGTCACTTTCCTTGCCCATCGGAGACGCCCGGTGGCAAAGGGGGGCGGCCGTAGGGGGTGGGCGAGAGGGGCGGGCGGGCGGCGGCAGGCGCGCAGCCCGCCCGTGCCGCAAATTAGTCGGGCGGTCTTGGGCGCTGCGCCAGGCGCGCCTGCAACGCCTCGCGCCAGGCGGCCTCGCGCCCGCCAGCCCAGACGACGGGCGGACGCGGCAGGGCTGCCGCCCTAGGCGGCAGCGCGGCGGCCCAGCCCGCGCAGGGCGACGCCGCCCGCCGCGGCCACGTTGGCGCTGACGCCCCCAGCAGCGCACGCGGGCCACCAAACCTGGGCCTTGCGCAGCAGCGCGCGGCAACCACGCTCGCCCAGCGAACGGGGCGGCACACATGACCCTCCCGTCGCCGCCGCGCGCTTGGCCCAGCGGCGCCAGCGCGGCAGCGGCCGCGGGGGGTGGGCTCTGCGACGACCCGCCTGGCTGTGCACCGAGCGCGCCCCGCCGCCCCGCGCTGCTCCGGTTGACCTTCAGGGCGGCCAGCTCCGCCTCAGCCAGCATCTGCTGCGCGATGCCCAGGGCGCGTAGACGGATGTCGCGCCCCGTGATCGGAGCTGGCGGCGGGAGCCGCGAGCGCGCGGCGACGCCCGCCAGCTGGTCAGCAACCGCGTTGCCAAAGCGCTCGTCGTCGGCCACGACGCGGGCCCGGTCGTTGGCGGCGGCCTCGTGCTCTTCGTCGCGCATCCCCTCCCAGTGCGACGCACCATTTGACGAAGCTTGAATTTCCAGTTGGGCCGAGACAGGCAAATCTGGCATGCCGGTCTGCACTGATCCAAGCCAAGCGGTGAAATGGAGGCATGGATCACGACAGCCAGTCGAACGGAAGAAGCCACACCCGCTGCTCATGCCCATCTTTTCCATCCACATCCAATCCTTTGCCATTTGTCTCGTGCTCGTCGACACTACTTCATCCCCAATGCCATCGCCGACGCCCCGCCCAACATGATGTATAGTAAGATCGTTCATGGTCTCCGTGCTCACCTACCTGTCCATCTTGCTGGAGAGTCGGCGCACGCCCGTGCGATGCATTTGACTACTCATCCCATCGAACCTCAGCATATCGATCGCCTTGTCTTTCTTCTGAACCCGATTGACCAACGTCTCTCTTCCTTCTGTCTGATTGCTACTG